TGCTATGATGATGACTGTGTATATAATGAAGTGAAATTACCTGTGCATTAAACTGTGACCAGTTCTACACACTTTCATCTCTGATGGTGATCATCACCACCAGAGTGCTATAATATTCAGTATGTGTTTAGTAGTTAGAATTAGAGTGATATGACACATGACAGAACCCGTTGGGAAGAGCTCGCGAGTTATCCACTATTTTGGCGTATGAACGCTAAAAAAATTTGAAATTAGCAAACGGCGTTTGCTAATCTCATCACTAACACAACACAATTATAATTACATCAAGCCAATGATGAAGTGTACTCAACATCGTTATTAAGTTCAGCAGTTGGAGCCTGAAAAAATATGCGGAAATTTTTGGAGGGAAATATTATATATAGACATAGCTCACATACACATCCGAGTTTTTGTTATCATCAACTGTTGTTGCTCTTCTCGAGGTTCCTGATGGAAAGATACGAATGAGGTCCGAGAAAGAAAAGATATGCTTACTCTTCCTCGGGGAGTGCATCATAGAAATTCTCAATTTGTTTACCATCCAAACACTCTGTTCCATCGCCACCTTTTGATACCACATTTACATAACTTCCCACGAAGATCAAAGTGCTGCCAATTGCTGTGGCGGGGATCAACCCGAATATGATAATCACTATTCCGGGGTTCCAACTGAGCCATACGAGTTCGCCCAAAGGCTCGGGAAGTGTCGTTGACATCATCCCTGCTACTGTTTGATCGGCGAGAAACGCGGCGCTGTGGAGGAGTGTGCCGCGAGATTTTCCTCGCAGCATTTTGCCGACTCTCGTGTTGCTGTCTTGTGCTTTGGTGAGCGCGCCGGAGAAACCATATTGTCTTCGAAAATCGCGTAGTCGAGTGGACATGTGCACGCCGACGTAGATCCACCATATGCAGGTTAAAACTAGAGAGATAAAGCATGCCTGAAATCAGCACAATTGTGGAAAAGGAAATTCTCGAAAGAGTATTCACCATGCCGAGTTGGGCTTTGGCTTTCCCTGGTGCGGTTACGATGAGCGCACCGGCCAAGATGAGATCACAGACGACGAGTGTGTATAAAATCCGGGGGGCGTGGTCGAACATGAGGGGCTTCAGTAGGGGTTGCTGAGATGGAACAGGGGTGACAGGTGATGGATGTTGTATAAGAAGCTTCAAAGAGCTTCCGGAGTATCACAGGTGAATAAATGCCCGTATATAACCTGGTGAATTTTTTATACTAAAATGTCACCAGGGAGGATAGAACTCGGAGTCATCCGGTTGGACAACCACTGGGATACCGACTAGACTAAATTTCCACTATAATCTTACCAACGTTATATTCTCGTGGAAGTGTATGTGCCATCTCCAAGTGAAGTCCGAGAGTGCCAGTCCGAAGACTAACAGCATGACAATAAGCAGACCCGTCCGCAGACTCAACCCGCAACAGGTTCCTGACAATAGATGAACTCATTCCTACTCGTGATAGAGGCAACTACCCGCGTTGAACGGTCGGAACATTATCGTTATCAAGGGTACCGTAATTAACCAAATACAACACTGATAACAGTTTTGCCCATTCGCGATAGGCTTCCTCGGATCAGTAGTAATAAAGAAACGAATATCAGTGATGTTATTATTATGGTTTACGAGAGAACACCGAATTGCCCAGAGGAGAGAGTACCGGGTTGACCGCTGGATGGTCGCCGTAGTCTCCCCATCACGAGTGCAGTGTCTACTAGTTTAGTGCGTTTTCGTGCACTTGCAGATGATATCACGTCTCGGCGACGTGCAAGAAAATTCTCGAAAATTCTCTGTAGTCTCGTGGAGCTGCGGCGAGGTCGTTTCCTCTGTCGTGGCGTCACTATTTCAAGCGATTTCAATTTGGTAGAAATTTTCCGTCGTGGAAATTTATTTGATTTTCTGTGTATTTCTCATTCAAATGACCATCCCAAAATACAACCGACGATTCCCTCAAGAACATCACCGAGAAAACGCCTTCCTCAAGCCTTGTCGTCAATTCCGATTCTGCCAACTCCGATTCTGACTCCTCCGTTTCTACACCTCGCGCGGAAGGCTCTGGAAAACCCGACTTCGGTCCTGTCCCGAAAGTCGAAGACCTCCTATCACGTGTGAAGAACTTCCTTTCGGCGCCGGCTACTACGCCGACTGATAGCAACTGCGACCCTGAGGTTGTTCGTGACGAAGTGTTGCTGAGAAACGACTTGTCTCAGCCGGCCGAGGAAGCTGTTGAAATTGATGTTACTGCTGGTGTTTTCGATGTACAGGGTGATGCCACGACGGTGGAAGAGGAAATGAAGAAGAAGAATGTTCCTGTTGTTGGTAAGAAGGATGAGAGTAAACTCATTGAGGAAATCCACAGTAAATAGTTATCACTGTATTACTCTTCTACTATAACGTTTACAGATTCTCCTTGTATTGCGTTATGAAGTATTTCAAGAATTTGTGGTATATTCCATTCACGAGTGATTTACGGTTACGTGCGTGGCTGCAACTACGATATCAGTTGTTCTATGATGGACTTTCAGCAGCAGCCGTACGGAGCTCTGGATGAGGCTGTGTGTGGCGAGGAGGGCAGGAAAGGAGTTATTGACAGGTGATTGTACAGGAGGGAAATCACGTAATTTTGATTCAACTTCAATAGATGTGCACCTGTACGGAGTACGGAATGTGAGACTGTTTTATTTTCATATCATGCTCAAGATGAGTGCCGAAACTGCAGCATCCTAAACCTCTCCGATCGAAGTGTTTCACTATGCTGGGGATGCGTTGAATGCGTTGCATTTCACGAACACACGCATGCCCAATTCTCGAATGAGCATGCATGCGCGTCCTTGACCGCTGATAAATCACCGCCGAGGCGCCTCGGTCCCTTTACCGCCAGCCTGGCGGTGACAGGCAGGTGAGTTCGAGGACCCCCCTAGGGAGCCCTACTTGAGGACATTCGTCAGATCAATGCTATCAAAGAGGAGCCTCTCAAATTGAGGGCCTCAATCCCGTCTGCAGTGATTCGTGTTCGACCCTCTATACGCATACGGATCCGCCCAAGGATAGGCTTCTCGAACGATTCCCTCATTGGATTTGTGAGACTGCAGAAAGTGCCCGGTGTCCGAATTTTACACTATCATCAAGACAGTCAAAGGCTCGGTGTCAAGCACGATGAGATCTGCGGCAAGAAGGTTCTATGCGTTGCATGCACCTATCTACATCTCCGCGATAGCAGCACCGAGGAGCTTGAGACGGGTCAGCTCACCGTGAAAAAAGCTATGAGCTCTGTGGGTCACCTACAGTAGGTGTGACCGATCCTATCGCGGTGACATAGCCTTCAAATGGCACTGAACAGCAGTATGATGCACAGCCCCACCCCATGCCTAGTTTGATGAGTAATCTCGATAGGAGCGGCTTCGGCCGGCGGGTTCACAATATTCCCGCTGTCGATCTGGAACTAGAGGCATTTGAGAGGCGTCTTGCTTCATCAAAGTTCGATCCCAGTATGAAGTTTACTGAGTTCTGAGTGGGAGCAGTTGAGTTGCCGATATTAGAAAGGTTAGCCTTTCAGCTGAACTCCATCCCCGCGTCTAGCGCAAGCGCCGAGGAATCCTTTAGCCTGAGCGGCTCCTTAAGCCGCGTGCGTAGAAGCCGGCTAGCACCACAAACTTTGCGGGCGTTGATGCTATTACGAGAACATCAGGAGCTTGGATAATGTAAGCTTGTTTCATTGCAGCTTGCACTAGGATAAGAAAGGCTTCAGCCAGTCTGCTGGGTTTTTGAGTGGTCCTATCACCGATGAAATACCACTACACGCAGGTCGACAGTCTCATTAGGCTTGTAATGTTGCGCTAATATGAATCGATCCGGGTTCACGTCGTGAACTTCACGGTAGCTATCCTACTAGGATAATCCTAGGTGAACTTCGTGATATTTCATCCGTACGCCGTACCGTACTTTTTCATGAACCACGGAATGTGCCAGAATTCAGAATCGGTC